CCCTGATCCTGCAAACACTTATGCACAGGAATACCTTTGTTCAGGTGACTAGTCTTATGTGTCCAATGGGAATACTCATGTGTGTAATGTTACTCATGTGTGTCAGTGGTCGCTGGACAGAGCCCTTAGGGCTCAATCCTCGAAAGAGTTAGGCAAACCACTTTACTCATACAAATAATGTCATTGAGCTCAACAGGAACTCTCATATAAGTGAAGTTACTCGTGAGTGTAAATCCTACAAAGTCTTATGCTGGGGAGTAAATTTACACATGGGACTATTATTATTTCCATGGGTTTACTAATCGAGTAAAGTTTCTTGTATAACACTTTACAGGAGTGAGGCCTTTGACTATAAATTCCTTGGGAGTAAGGACATAAGAACATAAGACAGCCATGCTGGGTCAGACCAAAGGTCCATCTAGACCAGTATCCTGTCTTCCGACAGTCGCCAGTGGGAATGACCAGAACAGGGAATCACCAAGTGATCCACCCCCGTCACCCATTCCCAGCTTCTGGCAAACAGAGGCTCGGGACACCATCCCTGTCCATCCTGGCTAATAATCATTGATAGACCTGTCCTCCATGAACTTATCTCGTTCTTTTTTGAACCCTGTTATAGTCTTGGCCTTCACAACATCCTCTGGCAAGGAGCTCCACAGGACATGCGATTTGATTTGTCTCTGCAGTGCCATGCACACCACTAGCATTGTATAAATGAACAAACAATAAAATGGTAGTAATAATTACTAATGCAAATAATATAATTACATTATTAGTACAATATAATAATGTGTGTCCAGTCCCCCTCAACCCTCCTCCTTACAGCATCCCTTGTCCCACTCTTTGCTTCACACCTCTATTCAAGCTGCCCACTACACTTGACATGGTGCCCCACTTCCTGTCCACTCACTGACCTTTCTTCTTTCAAATCCCCTCCTGAATCCCCCTTTCACGCCTTCTTAGCCCCTGACACCATCCTCCTTGCTATTCGTCTCCCCCACCCTTCCTTTACCTGAGCTGATGCCCTGTGTTCTGTCCTGTCTATGCTAGATCTTAAGATCTTCAGAGCAGAACCTCAGCCTTATTCCATATTCTGCAAAGTGCCATCTATGTCTATGATGTAAGAAAGGTGTCTATTAATAATAAGTAATAATAATAAATAATAATAATAATGCATATTAGCCTACTTCCTGGTGATGGAGCCCATATGTTTGATGCTTGCCATGAACTGGCAGTCATAAATTACAAATTAGTTCAGTTGATTGGAAAATGACCAGATTCTATGGCCATGCTAACTCTTAAGCACACTTTGGAGTGGGTGGGAACAGGGGTGGGAGAAGACTTCTGGGCACTCCCTTCCTCCAAAGGTAATTCAGACAAGAGTTTATAATTTATGGGAATAAAAGGTGGGAGTGGGGGGTTCTTTTTTCCTTGGCAACAGTCCCGCTCCTAAGTGGTTAAACTGCAAGATAGGAAACTAAGCAATTTATCTCAATCAAGGGGTTTGATCGTTGCTGAGAATGGAAAACCCCTTCCTGTTACCATGATAGTGCAAACACATACACTTAATTGTATTAATAAAAGTTTCTCCTTTCTCCCCTTCCAACTAAACACCTTCTGCTGAACAGCTGGACTATGGTGCTCCAGTATTTCCTCTACGTTCCTGTCCTGTAGCTACTACCATACTTGCTACCCTGGCCAATTTATAAAAAGGGTTTCTTTTCTAGCTTATCTTTCTCTTTTGTGCCTGCCACTCCTTGACACGGAGTTCAGCTGGTCTGCTTCATTGCTCAGTGTCTCGCAGGCTGAATTTGACTTGGGATGCAAGACGTTCTTTGCAGGGAGGTTGGTTGTTGAGTCATAAGTATGCAGATACTTTTTTCCATGATGCCTTCCCGCCGCCATCCCAGCTTTCCCTGGCAGCACTGTCACTTGGTCAAAGCAGTACTTCTAATGTCCGTTGATTCTTGAAAAGGTGTCCATTTTATTTGTAGTGACCAATCAAAATATTGTGGTGTATTGAGGACTTCCCTTCCAGGTTTCCCATCTTGTGCATCTTTGGAACAACCATAAACGAGGCTGTGTTCCAAATATTCATTCCAGGTTTGATGCTGAGCCTGGTGGATGGTGGGACAGAACTTTGGGAGTTTAGTCAGGTCTGCATGGAGACCCACACAGTGCAGATCAACCATGTTTGTAATTATGTATTTCACAACTGACTCTAGGTGCTTTAAGAAGCTCCTAGTAAGCATGGACACATATCACCTATAATTACTTTTTGCTTTTTATTCTGTCACACCACATTTGGAATGGACCGATTAGCATTTCCCAATTCCTAGCCATATTTAATGCTTATCTGAACCTTCACGAAACTCTTCTTTCCTCTCCCCTTTTCTACTCACCCGTTCCTCCCAATCCATCCAGCTCCTTCTGTTCCCTTCACCTCCAGCTCAATCTCTATGTGCCCCAAATGGTTCACTGATACCCCAAATTCATTTCCCAGATTCCAAACAAGCTCCCATCTCCCTTGCCCACCCCTACCTTTGATAACAACATAATGACTTGTTAGTGCGTATGTATACCACTGGCCTCCACAGGCTAGAATTAGAACAATTCAGACATGTGTCATAGGTCCAACAAATAGCACTGGCTTTTAGCTCAAGTGATGGAGGCCGGCGCTTCTGGAGCCAGAACGGTCTGAATTCTATCCTCTTTGTGACTGAAAAGTTGCTAATGCCCATGGTGTGCCGCATCATGGCAACTATGGTTGTAGACTGTTATACTGTCATAACAGAGGGACAAAAGGGTCTTTGAGGTCTGTGCAGTGCTTCAGGTAGCTATTTATCTGGGTCAGAGATGCCCTGTAATGTGTTGCTCCCTCTCTCCCCAGAGAAACCCCAGAATTTATGAAGTTTTCAAACAGCAGGTGGCCTGTCAGTGGTAGACAGACCTGCCAAGACTCAGATCTGGGTTTCAGCAAAAGCGCCATAAGAGGCCTGTTGAATATTGGGGAAGGGAGAAGACTAAAGACCCAAACTTATAATAATTTGACTCTGTGCTACATTTGGGCCAGGTCTACTTTATATCGATTCACCCATCTTATTAATTACCCAGGCAGCATCTCAATGCAGGGTTGGATTTAGGGACAGGCAACCCAGGTGACTGTCTGGGGTGCTGGGCTTGGGGGGCGCCGGGCTCGCAGATGTACAGATCCTAGCATGCAAATTTATCGTCATATGACAGAGTTAAATCATGCACTCAAATCGTTCATCCAAGTTGTGAGATGGGCTACAAATACAATAAAAAATAAGGTATTCAAAAGCTTAACAAATGGGGTGGGGGGGCAGATGACACTCCTCGCTTGGGGCACCATTTGGTCTAGGGCTGGTCCTGTCTCAATATATCAAAAAGTTGTGGGCAGTCTATTATACAGATAAATAGTAATAAAGTACACACATACAGCACTTTCCATCAAGTTGAAGCCTTTTACAAATCTTGAGATACCTGTACTCATCCTCATATAACCAATGGGGAAACTGAGGCATAGACAGATTAAGTGACTTTTCCATGGTCACTCACTGAGTCTGTGGCAGAGTTATGAACAGACAGCAAAGCTCCTGACTCTCTGTCCTGTGGTTTAACCACACCACCATCTTTCTTCCCTAGAGCAATATGGCATGAAGTCGCAGAGGGCTAGGTTTCCAACAGACCTTTGTTTCTTGACCATCCGGGTGACACAGGAACCAGAAATCAGGCAGAATATGGCGGTGATCTTAATTATATTGGCAATTTCATTGATCAATTGATCACAAAAACTAGGTGAGCTGAGCTCACCCTCGGAATGTACCAAGAAAGGCTAATTCCAGCTAACGAGAGACTGACCATTTCAGTCCCAGTTTGCTTTAAGGGATTGTGATTGGTCCAAGGAGACTGGATTCAGTGAACTACATAGTTTGAGGAGGCCTCTTGAGTTGGGGGGGGGGCATTAACTGGACTGTTTCAGGGGATGGCTGCAAAGCCAGGGTGTGCTGGTCAATCCCCGGTGTGTTTAAGGGTCCAAGCCCTGGCACAATTTAGGGCAGGAGCAGGCAAATCTTAGCGATTGGATTTTGTCCATGAGTCTCCTGGTGCAGTTTGGAAGCCCTGGGCCAGTCTAAGGGGCTCCCAGTGGTTTCTGGAGGTAGGACCCGCAAAGGTTCAGGGAAGTCACCGGTCGTTTCGAGAGGATTATTTTAGAGAAATTAGGGACCCTGATAATCCCGGGGTCTGCGTCTGCCTGTGGGCTCAGGGTCCCAGCCAGCGCAGCTCGACAGGTGCCTGCTTCCCCGGTCGCCCCCTGTCCCGAGGAGACCGCGCTCTCCCCGGCCCCGCCTGGGGCAGGGACACGTGCGCCCCTGCGAATGAGGAAGCGGCTCTTTATTGAGTCCCCTGGCCCGTTCCCCTCTCCCCCGGCCGCCTCCCCCCGCCCCCGGGCGCCCCCTTCCCCCCCTGTGCCGCCTTGCCCGGCCCCCGGGCGCCCCCCTGGGTCTCCCCCCGCCCGCCCCCGGGCGCCCCCTTCCCCCATGTGCCGCCTTGCCCAGCCCCCACGCGCCTCTGCCCGGCTCCGGCCCCGGCCCCAGGCGGGTAGCGCCGACCCCCGCGCCCGGCCCGGGGGGGCGGTCGGGGCGGCCGCGCCGAGCCGCGGCTCTAACAGGTGGGATCCCGCGGAGAGGAGGAGGCGGCCGGAGGGGGGCGGAGGAGGCAGGGACGGGCGGGGGGAGGGAGGGGGACGAGCCGGAGCCGCCTGTGATCCTGTGACAGGAGCGGCTGCTGCTGCTGCTGGCGCCGCCGGTGCCTCCCTCTGCCCGGCTCGCTGGGTCGCTGTCCGGCTGCCGCGCTCCCCTCCACGCCCGCCCCGCAGCGGCCCCTCCCGGGGCCTCGCCCCCGCAGCCCGTCCCGACTCCAGCCCCGCCGGCCGGGCCGGGCCGGGCAGGGCGCAGCGCAGGGGCCGGCCGGGCTCGCCGCCGTCTCCAGCCCGGGACGGGGTCGGGCGCTGCCTCCGGCCGGGATATGCCGAAGCCCCCGCTGCTGCTGCGGGGGAGCCGCCCCGGGGACAGCGAGCTGGGGCGGCAGTTCCGGGACTGGTGCCTCCGCACCTACGGGGACTCGGCCAAAACCAAGACGGTGACCCGGAGCAAGTACCAGCGCATCGCCGAGGTGCTGCAGGGGGGCGCCGGCTCGGGCAGCGGCGCCGGCGGGGGGGGAGAAAGGCAAGTTCCAGTTCTGGGTCCGGTCCAAGGGCTTCCGGCTGGGAAGCGGCACCCGGGAGGCGGCGAAGATGGGTCAAGTGGTGTATGTGCCGGTGAAAACGGGAACGGTTAGTGCGCTCCGGGCCCCGGGGGCTCGCTGTCTGTCTGTCTGTCTTGTGTCTGTGTGTCCTTCCCTCCCGCCGCCGACACCCCAGGGGCTGGGGCCCAGAGCAGGGGAGAGACCCAATGTGGGGCAGCCCCCCCCCCCCGCATCACCCCCTCCCTCCCCGCCAGCCATCCCGGCCCCTGTCCCATCAGCACTAACTGGCACATCCCAGACACACAGCAGGGTGCAAATGAGCGCGCATGCCCCATGGGGGGCGAGACACCCACCCCCTGCGCCCCATGAGAAAACAGCCGCCCCACGCCCCTGTCTGGACAGGTCCAGCCAGCCCCCCCCCGCCCCAGTGCGCTGAGTTGCAGACAGACCCCTTGTTGGGGGGCGTGGGGCAGAGCCTCCTGCGGAGCAAGGGCTGCCCGCCCCCCCGCCGCCGGGCGGGGGCTGAGTGGGGCGGTGGTGGCGGGCACAGCTGGGGCGGACCCCTCCCCACCCCGGTCCGATCACGTCCAACCTGAGCTGCCCATCCGCCACCCACCCATGCGTGGCTAGGGAGGGGTGCGCGTTCGGCGCGGGCCAGCCAAGCCTCCAGCCCGGGCTGGGCAGGGCCAGCCTGGCTCCCAGCAGCTGGCCTCGCAACGGGGGGAGGATGCAGATTAGGTTAGACACCCGGCCCAGGGGAGGAAAACCCCTCGCACGCACCCTCCCCTCCCCCCTCCTGCCCCATCCGGTCCAGCCGGTCCCTCCCAGCGGCTGAGCGGCGAAGAAGAGGGGCGGTAGCTCCCTCTTTTAGGGTGGGGGGAGGAGATCCCTTCCCTCCACCCCAGGCCACTGCACCTGCCCCCACCCCCGCCCCGCGATGGGTGCAGACTCGCAGAGAGCTCCGGGTTGGGTGTCAGTCCCTGGCGGGTGCAACCCAGGGGCCGGCTCCCAGACTCTGCGGCTCCCGTGCAGCCCACGCGGCGGGGGAGGGAGCCCCCTTGCACCCCCCCACACCCACCCCAGCGCAGGTCCTGCCCCATGACGCTCGCCCTGCATTTCCCACCCACCCCGTGACCGCAGGCCGCTTTGCAGCCAAGGGCAGAGTGGGGGCGGCAGGCACACCCCCCCCCCCATCGCCTCCCTCGGCCAGGCCGCGTGCCCCCGCCCCCGCTGACCCGGGCGCAGGCTGGAGCCCAGCCCCGCTGGGCCATGGGAGCGCGCCCCTCCCCCTCCGCAGGCTGCTGTCCCGCGGCGCCGCTGGTTATCCTGGGGGGGGGGCAGAGCCTGGAGCGGGGCCGTGCCCCCCCCCCCCCGGGCTGCTGTCCCGGGAAACTCCCCTGCGGGAGCCTCATTGTTCCCTGCCCGGCTGGGGCGACGGCGCAGGGCAGAGCCCGGCTGGAGGTTGCAGCGCCGCTCCCCCTCCCCCGCCTCCCAGCAGGCTGCTGTCCCGGGGACGAGTCGGCCCCGCTGGAGCCATTGTTCCCTGTCCTGCCCGGCCGCGCCCCCGCGCCGGGGACCCGCTCCCTGCCAGCTGGGGGGGGGGGGCGCTGACCCCTGTGTGCAAGGGGGGGGCGCTCCCGCTCCGCCGCGGGGCGGGGGGGGGGGCACAGCATGGGGCTCGCTGGCTGGGAACTCCCTCCCCGGCCTCTGCACCATCTGCCCCAGCGCCTGGCAGCCCAGGGGGCTGCGGCTCCTCAAGTGCCCTGGGGCGGGTGTCCCCCGGCGCGCGGCACGGAGACGCTGCGCCCCGGGAAAGTGGGCAGAGCTGGGCGCGGGGGTGGGCTGGGTTTGGTGGGTTTTTTTTTTTTTCCCCTTTTTTTCTTTTCTTCCCCCTCGCTGCTGCTGCTGCTGCTGCTGCTCTGAGGGTGCAGTGTTTTCCGAGCACACGCACACAGGCTCCAGCATTGAGAGGGCTGGAGCATGCTGCCATTGAGGGCAGCCCATCTGTGGCGAATGCGTCTAAACGCACTATTTACCTCCCATCTGGCCTGCCTTCCTCCTGGGGGAGGGGGGAGGGTCAGTATTTCTTCTCTTTTCCCTCCGCAGGGCAGAGAGGCTTCTTGGGTCTTTCTGGCCCCTCCACCCCAAATGTCTCTCGAATTTGTGGGAGACAGCCTGCTCCGCACAACAGCCCCTCCCCCCCCCCAAAAGCCACCCAACCCTGCTTTGGCTGAGGTAGTGAGAAACACCCCCTCCCACACAGTGCACATCATAATCTCCCCCAGAGCCTCTCAGTCTCACTAGCTACTCAGTGTACATGCCCTGATCTTTCCAATGCTGCAGAGTCATGGTACCCCAGAGAGGCCATGCTAGACTCCCGAGACCCTGCTGTTAATTAGTGAGACACCCCCCCCCGTTGTGCTGCACAACCAGGTCCTTACACCTGATGGCTCAGCGAGACCAGTGCAGGCACCAGGCTCCCTAAAAGCCTCATGTCCTGATGAAGTCTCAGCAGGGAGAGTATCTAGACCCCCAACTCCTCTATTACAGTCCCTGCAGGCTACAAATACTAGACACACCTAGACTTCCATAAATCAACAAACCAAAAATAGGCAGACCCGCAGGAGACAGATGAATTTTCAACGGGACCATAGAGCACATTTGCCAGAGATTGTAATACTGTAAGAAGTGAAAACTGGGGGCACTGTAAAGAGACACTGACTGCAGGAAAGACCCATCACTGCTGCTCCCCCTTAAATCTTAAGGTGTCAAGTGTGTAGAAGTTGTTTGTTCCCCGTCCCCCCCCACCCTTTTTGACTCAGTTACTTAAGAGGAACCATTATGTTGTAAATCCAGTGAAAGATTTTGCGCTGATGCATTTGCTATTTTTTGTTTTGTTTGAAACATCTCTGAACATTTATAAATAATGTGACAGGGTTTCTCTTTAGTTGGTGATAATTCAGTGATTCTGTATCTTTCAGTGGTCTTCCCTAGTTTTGTATAGATGGGTGCACTTCATTATTCACATATGTGCAGTCAAATAATTTATGAAGCTGATACTAGCATTCAGCTCAACAATCAAGTGCATGTTCTGGTTTATCGTTATTCTGTTGCTCTTTCCAAACACTTCTGGGTTGGTGCTTCAATTGGCTTTCCCCTCATCATGCTACTCATCTATCTGACACCTCTTGTTCTGTCCCATCTTCCTTCTCCGAGTGTATCTGTCAAAGACTTAATGTGCTCAGGACTGTCCTGAGGCTTGGGACCCCGGGAAAGAATAAGCATAGCCAAAATGCAGCTGGGGTGAGAGGGGGAGGGGATTTTGCATGTTGCTATTCAGTATCTGCAGATTGTCACAGGAAATATGAAGTACTGTACCGTGAGTGAAAAGTTGAGAAGAGCTAAAGAATGTGTGGAGGGCACTAGTGGGGTTAAGGTCTTTCCTTCTAATGACGGAGTCAGGGCCACTCCTGTTCTTGGGGGGATGGGGGATTATTAGTGTCCCTTTTGACCTTGTTTATTCCTAATTGACATAAGTGTTTTCTGTGCAATTGTGGCTAAAACACAATTAACGTGTGGTTCTTTTCTCTCTTGAGTAACTCTCCCTTGCCCTCCTTCAGGCCTCTTATCAGAGCAGGCCTAATCAGATTTGGGTGGTTTGAAAAATAGGACTGTACAGTGAGAAGGGGGCATCTGCCTTAGGTGATGGTCGCAGCAGATGGTGGTCTTTCTGTTGACGAATGGGTTGGGAATAGAGACAGCAGTGAGGTCTGGCACAGGGAGTTTGGATTTCCCTTTCCCAGATGAGTGTCCTGAAGATTCAGGTCATTTAACACACACAACAACAACAAAAAAGAAATGAGGTCCTAGTCCGTGTAGGAAATTTGGTACCTTACTGGCAGCATAACAAGCCTGTTCAGATATTAATTAGATTGTAAGCTCTTTGGGCAGGGACTTTAAAAAATATCCATACAGAGTGCCTAGCACAACGGGACCTTTGTGTGCTACTGCAAAATACAAACAACAGGTATCCTGCAATTCCTAAGTGTACCCTCGCACTGCTCAACTATTATAAATTATAATAGGCTGATGTGTTGCTGGTATGTTAGTACCAGTGTAGCAGTGCTTGAACCCCAGCATCCATTAGCCAGCTGGCCTTGTATATCTCTGATCTTGCCTCAAAACCATGAGAGTATCTGTTCATGATGGGGAGTTAAAATGTGGCTTTTATTATCGTCTCATGTTTCTCTTGCCCCAAGTATTTAGCGTCCTTTGGACAGAGTTTTCCTATAGATGTATGTTGAGATGGAGATATTGTGTAAGGAAAAATACGACATTTTTAGTGACAGCTGGAGGTGTTGATTTGTTTTCATGTAGCACCAGGTGTTAGGGGAAAGGTTAGACCCAGCCTTTGGTTTGGGCATTAGCTGCAGGAGTGGATATGCACACTCTGTAAATCAGTGCTATACTTCACCCTGCATGGTGTGCGCTTGTCACAGCTATGGAACACTGGCCAACCTAGCAGGATATCTTCATTCCGGCAGCCTGTGATATGGGCTACAAGAGTGAGTCAAATGGGACTGCAAGATGAGACATGGGAAAGCCTCACATTAGACTGACCCTTTGGGCGCTGCTCAGGGATCTGTGAGGCTCTGTGGCAGTACGTGCATTTGCTTTTGCCTTCCTTTGCCTCTTCTTACCCCTGCAGAGCTTGATATACGGTTCCAGGGTTCATTCCAGACACTAATAAAAGGCTGAGGCCATTTCTGATGGTGGGGTTTAATTGATTTACATGTAGAACCTTTCTAGATATTTCAAGGCAGACTCCCCAGAAAGTAGAGGTGTTTTAAAATCATCTTAGAATGACACATTTGGAGATCCCTCAAGAAAGATATTAGACTAAGAGTGAAGCATAATAAACAGAGGAGAGAGACCAAGAGGGGAATGGATGGCGGCCTTTCATCAACAGCAGAAAAATCACTGTGACACTGTATAAATCTGACCATTACAACATATGCCTAAAAAGTCTTAGTTTCTGCATGAAAACTAAAACACAGTAGATCTCAGGATGGTATAGCATAGTAGGAA